TATGACGTCATCTGCCATCGCCGTCGGTCTCCAGATATGGAGACCAGGAGGTCTACCGTAAATTGCACCTCTCTTAAGCTGTTACCTAATTGATCCCATCCACTGATAGATAGCGTGGAGACAGTAGTTCTGACTATGCGAGACTCCTTCCGACTAGGGTTCCAGAGAACATCGTAGTGGGCCATGATCCGTCGGAGCCCTCAATGAGCTCAAGCCACGCACAACGTTCCGTGGCAAATTCTTTAACATGATATCTGAGGTGGAGAAGGCTATAATGAAAATTTTAAATGGATTGAGGTGTACTCTTCAAGTTTTATTCGGGAGCATTTAGTTCGAATTCGGCAAAGTGTAACTGAATCGGTTTTAAACGTGGAGGTAGAATGACTTTTCTGCCCCTCCCTTGTGCACGTATAAAGGTCAAACTCTTACTTCAATGAACTTCGCTTTGGCCGTGCAGGTAAGTGCTACTAATTGAAACTGCTCGAGTTTCTTTGGAATATACTTCCGGTATCCCTTATCTGCTCTCGTAAGCACGTACTCGAATGAATCTGACCAATAAGTGCGACAAAATAGTAAGGTCGTGTCGCTGACCAGAAGATTCCCTTTCAGGATTGACTACCTCACCTGATGAAACCTTTCTGTAGCGACATTCATTCCAATTCTATCATTTTAGTTCTGGCATGGGCCTACGTGTTCGGCTCGCCAGTAGTGTTTCCAGTGGCGGCCGTCTTGCCAGACGACTTCTGTCTATTTTTGTGTGGCCGCCTGCCGTCGACTGCTTCATAGGTGTTGTACGGCCCGAGTCGGTTCGGCAATTGTACTGGCCACCTCACGGTTAAGTACGGGCAGTATTTTGTCATAAGGGCAGAAAGAAAACAAGCCATAGTGGCCATGGTAACGCAAAGAGAGTGCAGATCAATTTCAATACAGTACCACGTACTGAATTCTCTTTTTATAGACTCAAAGGATAAACACATCTCTCACATTTTGAGTTTTTTTGTTAAATCCATAATCAGGGCCAACCATGCGTTGCGCAGTTCTCAACGAGGAGATCGTATTTGAGATTTTTTTAGACGGGGATATTATTTTTCACGACAGATGAAGGGGGAGTACCGGGAGAGTGGTTTGATTTTTTAGGCAATTTCACTGAAACTCCATGAAAGAAGCGTGAAATTGACGAGAGTGGAGGAATTGCCGCTCCATAACACAAATTAATCCACCACATCATGCTAGACGGTCAGTTTTAACACGTTGACGACAACGCGCGTTTTGGGTTTTTGCACCGCGTGGGACCACGGCGATTTTGCAGGCGCCGCCGCCTCACATCAAATCCGTGAATTTTGAGCTTTAAATACCCAAAACTCGGATGCAACAAAATGTTTAGAATGATATTCGATGTGTCAAACTTATCAGAAGGGACAACTGTAAAAAATCGATCGAATTGACGTTTTCTGGCGATGAAAGGCAAGTTTCAGTTGCTTTTGCTGCAGTGAACCTCAAAATTATTTTTGACGCGGTTGCTCCACTAAAAACATATGTCTTGCTATATGTGTGGGTCTGTACTTACTTCTACTGCTCTTTTTTATGACCAAGATTATCAGAATATAAAGGAAACTAGGAATGAACACAATTGGGAAATTCGTAGGGCTTAGAAAACCTTCGCTAAAAAGGAGCATATTCAACCATTCAATGAACCTCGCCGTGTCTAGTCATATTATGGTGTAGTCTATGGAATAGATGCAAAAAATTAGAAAAGAAGTAGCGCATGCGCGAAAAAAAATAAATATTTTGTGTGTGCAGCGCATGCGCTGCACACGGTCCCACACGGTGCTCAAGGTGTGATGCGCATGCGCTGCACAATGTCGTCAACGTGTTAAAGGCGAAACTTCGTGGAGTGCTGAGTCTAAGAATCAAATCCTATGGAAACATTCATGGTGCTGGGAGCTGGTCCGGGGATGGGGAAGGGAAGGTCGGATGATAATAGTTAGGGGCCGCACCGAGACCCCCTGAAGGAGGAAAATCGTAAAATTTTTGAAACTGGAACAGCGGAGGTTGTCCCTGTCCAACCCGTAATTCTAAATGATTGGATGATGATTTGGCTATCGTTAGCTAGTTTTCTTTTTTAACTTTTTTGAGTTGTTGTGGAGTTTAATCTTTTTATAATTTGAACTTTTGTCTTTATGGACCATCTTGGTGTGCTGACGGCATGTCTTTTTGACGTACGAAACAATAAACTATAAACAATAATGCTCCTTCTTTGTTAGAAACTTAAGACATGTAAGCTTTGACTCAAAATTATCGTTTTTGTTCAGGAGAGCAAAGATGACATGCATGTGCATTATGGTCATCTGCATACTCTACAACGTTCCACACTTTTTCGAATTGGAGAAGGTTTGTCCTTCTGTTTCTCCTTTGCGATCGCCGCTCTTGGCCTTCTCCATAAGAGGACGTGAGTAGCAATGACAGGGCGAATATACGAACATGAGCGTATTTTTGAGTGATGAGAGGCGAGCGCAAGCCCAAATTCATTTACTGCATATCTCTCATGAAGGACTCGGCGGCTCACACAGCACAGGGTAGAAGAAGCAAGAAGCTGTTCAGTTGCACGAAAGGGCAACAGAACGTGGCAGGAACGGAGCTGGCTAAAAGGCTTCGCTAATTAGTGCGTGGAAAAACCGCATCACTACATATACACGATCAAAAAACAGCGGGAATTTTGGATGTGCACACAAGAAACCATCTCTGCGGGACTGCTTTATTGGAAGTGTGGTGCTGTTCTCATACATGTTGAACAATTCAAAGCTATTATTAGATTTTTAGGAAACTTCTTGCTGTTTAGACAGTTCAGAATCCAGACTTGGAGGCAACAATGCATATTTGTTCCCCTTCTTTTAAATATGGCAGAATTATATTCCGCATTTTCCCCAAAAACAGTTATTGTTATTAGTTTTCGGAAAAACAAGTCTAGTGAGAAAATCCTATGGAAGTTCTTTGATATCCACCCCGAACAAAAGCCCGAGACCCAGTTCAATCCTCCGCTGAAATGAGGTGCGGAGATGGGGTTTCGTCTGGATACGGCCGAAGCGGGCCAAAAAAGAGGATATCAGAGCGGTCATCCTGATGCCCTCCTCCAAATAAAGTTGCGAGAGCAACGCCTGCGATGTACGCACACCTGCGACGAAGGCCTGGGGAGAACCCAATAAAGAAAGCGATGTACTTCGAAAACGCAAAAAGTAAAAACGAACGCGAGACATCAAAAAGGATTGAAAAACGTGAATCGAGAAGGGTCTCACTGAAGACTGGCCACAGCAGGGGATGCTCTGGAAGATTGATAGTGGCAACGGCTGACAAAGAAAGCGAACCCCGGGACTATGTGGGACTGAGGCTAGAGAGCAGAAGAAGTTTTGAAACATTCGCTGTGAAACGTATTGAGCGCTGACCCAGGGTTTACCCGCACATTCTGCCGTAGCACTTTGTCACGGTTATCCCTGGGACGGTAGTAAAGTCCCCTAAATAGCCAGTCTATAGCTGGCCAATTAGGTCACGTTGACCTCGCCTTCGTCGGCACTCAAAAAGCATGGGGAAAGGGCGGAAATTCACGCTGACCTCCCGCAGAGGGCGAGGTCTACCACGTGTTAAGTGCGAACCTTTTGATCGTATATTAGGTGGCACCTAGCCTAGGCGGCGAACCCGGCAGAGAAAGGGGAAAGTACGTGGAGATTGCAGAGACGCAGAGGGTCATGTAGAGGGCGACTAAATGTACCCCTGAGTACATTTTAGTCGCCGCCTATCTGCGTCTCTTCAATCCCCATGCACTTCCCCCTTTCTCTGCACGTCATGCATTGGTCGCATTGAGCGTCCCTCCGTCCCTGCCATGCGCAGAGCGCAGGGAAAGAAAGGGGTACGTGGAAGGTGTTGAGTGTGGGCAGCAAGAAAGCCACTGGAGCTATCGATAATATTGATAACTTTCTGCCAATAAGGTGATCAGCTGTCCCCCGCAGTGTTCCACTTATTGATCGTGTTATAGCTCCTTCCTTGGTCCTGGGAGCATTTCACTACTGTGCGCAATCATAGGCCATGATCCTAGGTTACAAAACACGTCGATTGGCGCAGTGGGTTCGTTCCTTGTTGACATTGGATCGCTCGCGGGATCAGTTCTCCATGATACTGGATGTTTTGCAACCCTCATAGGATCCTACCTTGCTTTCTACAATTCTTTCGAAGTAACACAGCAATGCTTTGTGGTGCAGTGGCAAACGTCGCGCTCATGGGCGCTGCATTACATGGTTCAAGTCCATGGCGACGCGACTTTTGCTAGGAATGTAGTGAAGCTCGCCATTCAGAGCGGGGTCATCTGGCTGTCTCGCCTTTCATTATTCACCGTTTACGGCCGTAGTTCACCACCTTTAACTCCCAGTCTATGGCACTTTACTACCGTCCCTGCAGAAAATCATCCTTCGCCGAATGGACGATGTCGGGTGAGGTACGTCACGCAAAACGAATCGTCCCGTTTATGGCATTCCTTGTTACGCATCTACTGAGGTTTCGGGGTATTTTGACATCTTCCTGAGAATTTCGTCACTACAACATTTCTCCATGTGCTCGGCAAACTTCGCTTGCTACAGAGGGTGTAACAGTACAGAAACCTCCTTGAGCGGTTTCACCTTTTCGAACCTTTGTCG